GCGATGCCAGGAGCCCCTAGTAGCGTCCTTGCTCCTAGTAGTAAGGCCAGGAGCCCCTAGTAGTGTCTTTGCTCCCAGTAGCGATGCCAGGAGCCCCTAGTACTGATGCCAGGAGCCCCTAGTAGCTGTAGACATCCTTCACTTCACGACATCCTAACAGAGGTTAGAGAACCTTATAGACTATCCCATAGGTACCCCAGAATGGTCCTATAAGGTCACTTAACCTCTCGTGGTCCTAACACTGCTTGTTGGTAGAGGAGAGTGCTTGTTTGTGGAAGGAAAAAACTATATTTCGGTGACGTTTCCGATCGCAGTCCGCCGACGTTTGGCCATTGACCGACCACTTCGACAGCTGTTCGGCAAACAGCAAACAACAAGACGGCAAATCAGTTCGGAGAGTGGAAAATAGACTCTATGAACCCATTTGAAATTGGAACTCGTGATGAGACTCATAGCACAAAACGCGTGTGTGTTGTTCAGGTGGAAAGGTGCCTACGACCCATTGCGGTTTGTCAAGTGCTGTCGGGCCAATGATTTTTTTTGCAAAATTGAAGCAACCCACTGCGATTCGCTCACGTTTCTTGGGCGCGCAGCTGAACCTACAGTTGCCCAATGTCATGCAAGTGGGACATTCTTATCAAACACATGTTTTCCGAACTACGATATGACCACATCTGCTGCCTACTTGGGCAACGTGGCCAACAATCGTTGGTATATCTGCTGCTATGATGACGGTTCCTTGCTCCGACCACGACAGGTAGTCCAAATAGAACCATGGTTGCGGCGACCAAAACTGCAAAGCACCGGTCCGCTGGGGCACGGCCTTCGGGTTTGAAGTGTTTCTCACGGTGGAGGGCACCCTTGATTTCCCCCTCTACTTTCATCCGCCGTTGATGGAGGGCACCGTTTGTTTCCTAGGTCCTAGGTTTTTGATGGGGACCCTCATGTTTTTTGTAAGACAAACAGTCAAACATGTTTAGAAGGATTTTTGGACATGTTGGGTTTGAACAACTGCTTTCCTACATCGCCATCGGGGCTCCAAGATATGCAGAAACCGCGGTGTGGGCGGATGAGGACCCGATGGGTTGTTGACCCCGCATGGTGCACACGACACGGCATGGTGCGTTTTATGTGGTGGCTCGGCCGGGCGCCGGACCCGGGGCTCGGCCAGTCTCAGACGGATTCCACTAGCTGAAGGAAAACGGTGTGAAACATGGGGCCAAGTTGCATCGTTGTTGCATGCTGGTGAGCACTGCCCATGGTCAATGAGAATGTAATTGTTGAGAAAACACTTGGCATTTGTGTTTTTGAGTCGTTGGGGCTTCTGCGCCCTTCTCAATATTATATCCCCAACCCTCAACCCCTTCAACTCCACCAAATCCGAAACAGCCGCATCGGTTGGGAGGCTGTATGTCCAGCTCCACGCTTGAGCAGGGGCCAAAGGAGGATGGCAGCGACGACAAGGAGGAGGAAATTCACCGTGACGCTGGCTCGCAGCCTGGGTGTGCAGAGATTCTGTGAATGGGGAGATTCCGTGACATGGGTCATACTTCTCATACTTCCGTATCATTTCAAGTACATAAGTACATTTTTTGGTGGACCCGTTGAATGTTGGCTTGGGTGGATCTGTTTCTATTTTTGCTCACAGCCGACTCCATCCATCTCCACACCGAGCTGAGCACGAACAGTGCTCTTCTGTGGAGGCCGTGGGCGAGCTGAGCACTTGGATGTCTCGTGGCGAGAAAACTGGACGATCTGAGCAATCGTAAAGGATCTGATCTGAGAGATTAGAGAGAGCTGGGTACCCCAATGTCTGTATTTTTTGAGTCACCTTTCTTTTCATGACTGCTTCTTGCACATGACATACTGCAGTCACTTAGGCCATACCAGTGAGGAGGCGGCTGGAAACAGCTGTTGTTGTGATCTCCTGGTTTGCGCTGAACATCTCAATTGCAAGCTCCACCAAGTGGATTTTTGTGAAGGGCAGCATCTGCATTGAGGTGGGCTGCTCGTGGGCCGAACCCATGTCACACCTTTAGCAGAAAAAGGATCCACACCCGAACCCGGTAGACCAGTTTAACGAGTGCATATTTATACTTATAAGAACGACTTTCACTGCATGACTCTGCACGCCCGCTCTCCGATCACTTTTGGTACACTTCCTCCGATCATCGTCGCTTCCAGGCAGCCGACATGGTGTTTCACGGGTGTTTCACGAGTGTTTCACGGGTGAATCACGGGTGCATCACGGGTGCATCACGGTGAATCACGGTAAATTCTAGTCTCCAATCAAGTTTAACTAGTCTCCAAGCAAGTTTAACTAGTCTCTAGTCAGGGTCCGTTCATGGTGAATCACGGGTGGATCACGGTACGGCCAACTAACGTTTTCTTGAACAATATGGGCTAGAAGTATATAAGTATATAATTTTTTACTCCACAATCACTCCTAGGTACTAATTTAAAGGTGGTTAGAGGTGGCTAGAGACAAGTCAAGTACGATCTTTAAAAGTAAAATACATTCATGTGAGTGAATTTGTTATGAACAAGTTTAACGCGTACTTTGCTTCATAGGGACAGAAAAGTATCTCTGTGTAGCGTTGTATCGGCATAGGACTTAGTTTTGAACAAACAGTCGCCTGTATCGTCTTTCGTTGATGAGTGAACCGGATGATCCTTCTTCTTCACGTTCATGTGCAGGACAAGGGTTGCGTGCCGTACAAGTTTCCGGTGGCGATCACCGTGCCTGTCCCAGCGCTCGGCTGGTTTGGCGAGTGGAGGAAAGATCCAACCAGACCTCTTTCTTTCTTTTCTTTCTTCTTTGTTTCTAATAGCAATGGCCTCCAACCTAATAGCGATGGCCTCCAACCTAATAGCGGCCTCCAACCTACTTGTATTTGGTGTTTCTCTTGTTTCTCTCTTTTTGTGTCTTATTGTTTGGCTGTGGTGCTTGGTGGTTCATGGTTGTGGTCGTGCAGCGCCCTATCAAAGGCAGAATCATAGACCCTTGGGGTAGGCAAAACAAGAGTGCTGACCGTGGTTCTGCATCGTGTCACTTGTCCCTCAGTCTCTGACAACACTTGTAGAACAGTTTGCAGACTATTCCTCTAAAATTAGAGTTTCCTTTCCAAAAGGAGTGGACCATGGACACCCACCCCTACCCTTGCATAACGAAACAAGAATAGACCCCCTCATGTCACTTGCTGCACTTTGGCGTCCTCGAGTTTTTTTGTTTTCTCTTGAAACAAACGAAAGGCTTTCGAAGGCGAAGGTCGCTGCGCTTCCGGTCGCTGCGCGTCGCGCTTGCTCTGCTCTTTCTTCGGAAAACGAAGAAGAACCGGTCGATTCCGGTCGATTCGTCTTTGCTTGGTGCATCTCTGGGCTTCAGGGATGTGTGGTTTCATTCACCTCTGGTGATATCGTTTTTCCAATCTCTTTGGGTCATTGGTCCTTTCTTTTCGTCTGCAATTCTTTCAAAACCACCTCCTTTTTTGGCCGTCTTGGGTGACTGAAAAGGAGGAGGTCTCGCACGAAATGCTCGTTTTGAAGGCTTGACAGGTCATTTCTGGAGGAGTCTCGCACAACATGCTTGTTTTGCAGGCTTGACATGCAAGAGTGTAAGATTAAGAATGCCTTGCAAGAGTGGCCTAGAAGGGTGTCCCACAAGACCACAAGAATGTCTTTACAAAAACACTTCTACAAGAGCGTTCCTACAAGAGTGGCGCACAATAGAGTCTTAAAAGAGTGACCTGACACGAATGTTTCTACAAGAGTTACAAGAGTCACAAGAGTATCTTTAGAAGAGTGCCTCAGAGTGTGTCACAAGAATGTTGTCACAAGAGGGTGCTTTTGTTTAGTTGTTTGCTTTTGCAATCTTTTACCTACATGTCATTCGGGTTAGTGGCCTTCATCTTGTTTCAGAAGTCTGCTGCAGGTTTTTCATCCACGATCCTTTCTGTTTTGGGTGTGCAGTTTGGTTCTGCAAAGCTTGTTTTCTGATGAGAAGGTGTCACAGCAGTGCGAGGTGATTCACATGATCTTTTCCTGGATGCTGTGCCGTTTCTACATTTTCCATGTGCGAGGCTGGCAGGGCAGCAGTCTTGAATGATGTGTTGCTGATCAGTCACGTTTGCATCTAACTTGCCTGTCAGCTGAACCCATAGGTGATACGGCAATTTGTGGCAGTTTGACCTCACGGAAACAAGTGAACAACCAATTCTTGTGTAGCGAAGTAACACTTCAAGAGTATTTGGCAATTCTGCCATGGTCAGTGGCACAATATGTTCTCGTTTCATGATGTCTGCCCGCGAGGTTCTGCGTGAGATAGATTGGTAAGAAGGCTGAACTATTTGTGAAAGACTCGACCCTGTTGAAGGGAAGATACTTTTGCACAATAGTGTTAACATCTCCAACTTTCAAGATCAGAGACTCTTTTGGCAAGGCGTGACAACTCTCTCTCTCTCTCTCTAGCACGAAGGCGCCTATGGCGCCTTCGATGCGAACGCCGCTAGGTGATGAGAAGGCTGTCTTAAGCTGTCAGCAGCAGCTTCAAGAGATCATGCCCCTATCAATCTGCTTCGCGCTGTCAGTGGCCATGGGAAATCTGATTCTCGGACCAAACGACAGGAGAGACAGGAGACTGGAGGCTGCTTGTCACTTTGATGCGTAGAAGTGAAACCTGTTGTGGAGAGCTGAAACCAGGTTGGTTGCGCTTGTCGTTTATTCTTTTTGGTGTGCATATTCGCTGGATGGGTTCATGGGGGCAGTATTCTTTGATTCGGTAGGTATACGTTTGGTGGTGTTCTTTTTTGCTGTTATGAATGAGGGTTTGCCTTCTCGATCAAGAGGCCACCGAGAGTAAGACAATTCATACAAGACAGGGCTCCTGGAAGAGATGAGTAGCCCTTTCAGGGCAGGGGAACTCTGTTATACAAGATATTCTTTTTGCCAGGGGGTTGATGGAATCATCCTTGCAGATACGAACCTGTGTAGTTTCTGGTTTGAGGCCCAAGTTGCTGAAGGTAGCTGTTTCGATGGAGATGAGCCTGGGTCCAGTGGTGTTGATTTCCTCTTCAGGAGGATGTTCTGAATTTTCTCTGCTTGGCTTCCTCCCCAAAGCGTGGGTTAAAGGACAGGTCAAACAGCATCTTCATTTGCCCATCCGAGAAATGTGCTCCACTCCTCAACCCCCGTTTTGACTGCTTTTTCCCGGGCAAAGTCGGTGATTTTTTTGGAGATCTCCTGACCGGTTGGTTCTGGTTTCTTTGCAGGAGCTTGTGGTTTCTTGGGTGGGGGGACGGGGGGCCTTGGGGTAATCCTTTGAGGTCTCTGAGAGGTTTGTCTTTTCCACTGAGAGGATGCTCGTCTTTTTGCTTCACGTGCTCGTCTTCTTTTCTTCTTTTCCTCTGTCAGCTGAAGAAGACTGTAGCCAACAAGTGCAGTGAATCTACCTGGTAGCAGTTCTTACTTCAAGTACAGGAAGAGGTGTTTGTGTGCGCTTTGGAGCTTGGGTGCTGGTGCCGCTGCAGGGTGCTGCTGCGAGATGTCGATGGCCGTGTGTGCTTTGGAGCCTGGATGCTGGTGCCACTGCAGGGTGCTGCTGCAGGGTGCTGCTGCTGCCGCCTCTATACTGCTTCCACATGTTCATGGCAAAGTCTAAGAAATGCCAATGCAGAGCTGCCGCTCCAGGTTGCTTCTGCGAGATGTGTGTGGTTGTGTGCGCCGTGGAGCTTTGGTGCTGTTGCCGCTGCACCTTGCGGTTGCAATGTGCATACACATGGTGCTTTGGAGATGGTCAACTTCAAAAAGGTCTTCCTGGGTCGTAGAAGACAAGACAGACAAAACATCTGGAATGCTACTTTCCCAGAAGTGACAAGAGATGCTGAGGTTCTTTAATAGGATTCTTTGATTGGAATGGGTGCCTGTGTGTTGGTGTTGCTGCAGGCCCGTTTGTATGGCTCGTGTGCGCTTTGCAGCCTGGGTAGTGGCGCCGGCTGCCAGGTGTGCATGACAATGTGGGCTGCGTGCGGGGCCGCTGCAGGGTGCCGTTCCAAGGTGTATGGCCGTGCGCCCTTGGGAGCTTGGGTGTTGGTTCCGCTGCAGACTGCCGTTGCCAAATGTGCATGCGGTGTGCGCTTTGGAGCGGTTGCTGCCGCTGCAGGGTGCTCGTGCCAGATTCAGATTTCCATGGCAGTGTGCCACTTGATGTGCGCTTTAGAGCTTGGGAGCTCGTGCCATTGCAGGGTGCCGTGCCAGCCACATGTTTGTGCCCTGTGCGCTTTGGAGTTTGGGTGCTGGTGCTAACGCAAGGTGCTGCTGTGCGGTGGCTGCTTCCATAGATGCCTACGGGAACTTGGATTTTGGAGCTGGCAGTGCGCGATTTTGAGTATGGGTGCCGGCGTCATGCAGCCTAAAATATCTTTTGCTATCTTGATCTATGCTGGCGTAATTTGATCCTGCAGGGCTGCAGGCGCCCAGAGTAACATATTGCAACATGACCCACAGCTTGGCACAAAGACCACTATTGATCCAGTCCACTGCTCACAGGTCCTTGAAATACATTTATCCGTCTTTCAATCAGATGCTTGGTTCGGTGCCCCAGTTGGGCACCAATTCACAGCGGCACGGGGTAGCGATCAGGGAAACCAATGAACATCCGTGGATCAAACGCGGCGGTCTGGGTGGCTGTGTGTGTTCTTTTTTTACATGGTTGTTTGGGTGGCGCACTTCGCCAACGCGCCTTCCTTATGGGTCCCACATTGCATATTCGTTGAGCCCTTTTTGGGATGTCGCGCACGGCAGGGCGACCCACGTTTGCCGATGTTTTTGAACCCAATTTTGTGGGGACCCAAAGAAGGCGCCTGGAACCAAGGGGCGGGTGCCGTGTTTCTTGGGGTCTGTTTTTTTTTGATGGCCCCAGCCTCCTTCAGGCTCCATGTCTCCGCTCATCACGGTGTTGTTGGCCGTGTTCTTCCAGCAGAAGCGCTTCTCAATGAAGACCTGGCTTTCGATGCCGGTGATCTGTATGGGTTTGGCCATGTGCAGTGTAAAGGAGGGGTTTGGGATGGGAGGCTTTGAGGATTGTTCTGTGGAACACAAGTAGGCTTTGGTATTGGGGCTGGGCACCTTTTTCCTGAGCCGAGGGTGGTCTTAACAACAATCTTGAATGGACATCTCTCGGGAGGTTTTCTTTCGACTTAAGTCGCTTGCAACAGCACACTGGTCCGTCATCGGTCCTCCCTTAAACCTTCTAGTTTTCTCTTTCCTGACCTTGCCAAACAGTTTACCCGGAGTTGGCCAGTGCACCGGAAACAATCCTGAAAACCGCCAAAAATAACACCGCCGGACCGCGCGTGACGCGCGCCGCGCCGCGTCTGGCAGGAGTTGAACTTCAACGTTCTTGGCGCGTTCTATGCCACGGGCGCCACGGTCTTGCGTGCCGTGAAGAGTTTGATCCAAGGGAGGCCGCAAAGCGTCGCCGCGGAGCGTCGCCGCGGAGCGTCGCCGCGGAAGAAGTGGAGGGGAGGGGCGCTCCATGTGCCGGAGTCGGGGTGGTTGGGTAGCAAAGCCAGTGGTGTAGAGGGAGTGGCTGTGGAGCTATGGGGCTGCCTGACTTCCGGATGATAGTGGCTGATGTCTGCTGCTGCTGTTGTTGTTGTGGTGGTGGTGGTGGTGGTGGTGGCATTGGCACATGATGGTGCCAGGAATTGAGTTCTCAGATTGACAATAGGTCGTCAATGCACAGTAGTTGGTTATGTAACTACTCGAGTTGCTCTTCTCCACCTTTCATGGCAAGCGATCTGCAAGCTCAGTAGGCTAGCTCAACAGCTCGCCCCGAAAGAAGGTGGAGAAGCTTCCCCTGACAAACGTCTTCACGCTTGGAAGCCGCTAGAGTGCGCTCCACACTGCTCCGCAGCACTCAGAACCACCTCAACCTTCCTCGAACCCCCCCCTGCACTGATGCCTTTCTACGGCGATCCAGGCTGCTTTCGCCATCCCACAAGTTGGACTCTGCAGCTTGGAAGGGGATGATGGTTTCATTGGAAGCAATAGAGGCGCATCATTTGTAGATCTGTCTTTCGACCAGTATGGGATTCTGTGGGCTGATATGAATTCGTGGGACGACAACACAGAATGTGAAACACAAATATCCCCGGACCCCATTTGACTGGGTCCGGGAACATGGAACAACCAGTGCTCAATGAAGTCATTCGGAGCAGGTTTAACTTGGCCCTTGGATTTGTAGGCTATGAATGACTGCGTTGAAAAGAACGCTGCTCATCCAAGGTATCTCTCCTGCCAGAATCTCAGATTGCATCACTGCGCCTTTTTGCAGGGCTGGAAGGTGGACCATGACCACCATGACCATCGGCCAACTGGAGCACTACAGAAGATGTCAAACTCTTCGATTGTTTTTTTGGCTTATCATAATTGTTGAGGAGGACAGCTGTATGTGGCATCTGCTAAGATCACACTTACGCTGGTCACTAGTCAGTGTTGCGTCAACGAATCTGTTTGTTTGTTTGGTTGCTTGGTTGTTTGTTTGTTTGGTTGGTTGGTTGGTTGGTTGTTTGTTTGGTTCTTTGGTTGTTTGGTTCTTTGGTTGTTTAGTTCTTTGGATGTTTGGTTGTTTGGTTGGTTGGTTGGTGGGTTGGTTGGGTTGGTTGGTTGGTTGGGTTGGTTGGTTGGTTGGGTGGGTGGGTTGGTTTGGTTGGTTTGGTTGGTTTGGTTGGTTTGGTTGGTTTGGTTGGTTTGTTTGATTGGTTTGGGTTGTTTGATTGGTTTGGTTGGTTTGGTTTGGTTTGGTTTGGTTAAGTTTGGTTTGGTTTGGTTTGGTTTGGTTTGGTTGGTTTAATTGTTTTGGTTGGTTTGGTTTGTTTGATTGGTTTGGTTGCTCTGGTTTGGTTTGGTTTGGTTGTTTGGTTGTTTGGTTGTTGGGTTGTTTGTTTGTTTGTTTGTTTGTTTGCTTGCTTGGTTGGTTGGTTGGTTGGTTGGTTGGTTGGTTGGGGTTGGGGTTGGGTTGGGTTCGGTTGGGTGGGGTTGGGTTCGGTTGGTTGGGGTTGGTTGGTTGGTTGGGGTTGGTTGGGGTTGGTTGGGGT